CCCAGGCTTCCAGCCACCAAACTTTTGGAACAACGTCAACAAGATCTAGCAATGATGGGGTTCCTTATATATAGCGGTTGTGCTGGGTGTATGCAAAGGGGATGCTTATTTAACTTGGGGGCATGCCCATGTCTCTAAGCCCACCAAGCAAGCTCTCCTCCGTGTCTTTGGCAGCCAGAAGGTGCCACTGCAAGTCGCTGTCGGGGTCTGTGCCCTGAAGCTGCAAGTCAGCTGTTTCTTGAAATGGGGTGTGCCCTCAGTGATCCTGGCGATACTTGCGGATTGGAAAGGGGTTGTGGAATATGCTCCCAAGCTTTGAGCAAGAAGTTGTGCAGAAACGCCTCGTTGTACAACGAGCATCCTCGGGTTGGTCTCTGGACTTTGGGATGATTGGGGTTCCGGGTAGCCCTGAAGCAAGCCACTAGAATCCCGCCTAGGATGTTGAAATGGAAGGGCATGTTGAAATACAAGGACAGAAGTTCAACAACTACTCGGTTCTGAAACATCCACAGCCAGAACAAGGATGATAGCCTGCACCAAAGAGATGCCAGCAGTGTGATGTAGCTAGAAGCTTCTGCTCTGTCCCTAGCCCCAGGCATCCACTACTTTGTGCCTGCCGCGCCGATGCTGCCTCGTCCAAGGCTTGAGCCTCCACGCGCTATAGGAAAGAAGCAAGCATGGCATCATGCATTGCGCGTGCGTAGCAAGACACGGACTGAAATTGAGGCTCAGCAAGATAACCCTTCAGGCGGATCTACAAACATGCTGCAATGTCGAAAGACGAGCCCCTTGCCAGCATTCTGACCCATGGCTAGAAAAAGTGTAGAGGCATGCTAACCAAGCCTACTGCGGGCTTGTAAGCCTCCGAAACCGACCATCCTCAGATGAGCGGGACCCAAATGTCAATACCTATCCAGGTATCCATATGTCACCACCCTAAACCCTGATGCCCAAGCTCCGCTTAATTTGCACACCCGCGGGAAGCCTCAGCATCGCGGGCAGCTTTCACCTGGTAGCGTAAGCAGCGGATCTTGGCCCAGTAGCAGTGATCAAGCTATAAATGTGTCTGAGACGAGGGATCCGCCTCACATCCCCCAAAGCACTATAGAACTTTAGGAGACAGGTGGGGTAGTCTGCAAGGGGCTGCATAAGCTCCGAACTTCCAACATCATCTACGTCATGACATCTTTCAGCAGGCTTTGGACCCTAAAATGCGTTGGTGGGGACCTCAGAATGCACAGCATTTCTGGAGGCAAAAGAAGGCCTACAGGCGAAACTTGGCTTGAACACTTACCACATTCTCGTGATTTCTTTTGGTAGGGTTTCCAGTTGTTCAGCTTCAGATAAGGCTTTAGAGCAGCCCGCGCCCCCAAGTAGACAAGCAATCATCGAACAAAAGCAATCAAAAAGAACAATGCCCCTGCACCACATGTTTGGGAGTTATGATGCAACGCGGCATCACTTGATTTGTCTAACTTCAAAGGAATGATCAGCAGATAGTTCTGAAATGTGATTCACTCTCCTCGCCTCAACTTCGAGCCGGGCCACATCGTCAGCAGCACGGGCCTCCCGCAGTCCGAGCTGCCAGCAGAGGATCCCGGGACTTCTCAAAGGCATTATGGCAATTGCAAGCCACGAATGAACCAGGAGCGTTCCTGGTCTTGAGGGGCACGATGCGCTGCAAAGGCCGAACGCTCCCATACACTCCCGCAGGGCCCAAGCGAACTTCTTGCATGCTTCGCCCAAAGCCATAAACACACCTGCGCACTGCTCCGGTCCTGGCCTCTGCATCTCTGGCGCTTGTGACCTGGAACGGTGATCCACATCAGCTGCCGGCGGAGTAGTGTACAGAAGAACTGACACATACTGGCGTCGTGAAGATTCAAATAAAATACGACATTATGCAGGCGTTAGTGGTCTTGTACTTTCAGGCAAGAAGGTATAGTGTACTGGAGTTCGTCATATCAGAACTATGAAAAGGAATGTGAATTTCTGGTTCGTCAGGCGTCTACATTACTCGTAACTACTTTGCAGAGTGAGCCTGTCCGGCGTCACTGCGTTTCGTGATTCCGAAGTTACAGGACTTTCGTTGTAGCTTGCTTGGGTCGCCTCACGGTACAGAGTCACTGGTCAAAGATTTTGTGGCCTTCAATAATGCCCTTGAAGTCTATGCCAGAACATCACTGCAGCACAGCACTGCACACCTACAGTAGGGATTGGCAAGCCTGAGGTATTCCTGCCAACTCCCAAGGATTAATTCGGATGTTCCTTGGCAAGCATCCCTGACGCAACATCACAGACACTCGTTAATTGGTTCGTAGATCGTGCGGAAGGTAGAACAAAGGTTTAGTTCCAAACGCATGCCGCATACCTGACATAGGAGCCTTCTTGATAGTAGAAGCCATGCGAAACAACTGCTGGCCCATGTCTGATAACGTTTTGTTGAGAGATTCCTAGGAAAGGCCAGCAAAAGCCCAGCAGCATCCATCTCCCAAAGCCGCAAACACCATGCAACCGGAAACTCCTGTGTATTTGAGGAGTAAGGTTGATTCCAGCATCATCGGCCTCCTTCTGTAGTTTCTCCACCTCGAGGGATGCCGCCGCCTGCTGCATGACAGGTACCCACTTTTTTGCTATCTCCCTCGCAGCAAAACACATCCAAGGTCAAGACAATGTCATGACAGTAAAGAAAACTAACCTTGTACTGTATCTAACCATATTATAAAAAAAAAGCAGTAGAATAGCTATCATGCTGATAGATTTAACATTCCTTTTAGTATAACTCGAGTCCGATGACTAAGGACTTTTAGGGTGAAGGCATATATGGGGACTTCATGCTGCTCTTTCCATGGTTAATGGCTGAAGAAAATAGTGAGGGTTCGCTCTAATTAGGGAGTGAAATAGGAATTGCTCAAAACAGGCGCGCAAATGCTCGGGATGTAGGAGGATTGCAGGATTGAAGCTGTAGATTTCTGTCTTTGCGGAAAACCAGCTGCAGTACACAATACAAGGTATATAGTCTGAGAACCTATCCGTAGCTCCTCGTTCGCTTTACAAACCACTCAACGAGGACGCTCAGAGTTTCACTCTAGGGGTTTGCACGCCGCGGTCAAGGAGAGAACAAAGAAGGTCATCCCAGACATGGAAAATAAGACAGAGCAGCGCGCTGTCAACAAGAGATATGAGTACACTGTGGCCCACTACGACAGTGCTTCATGAGACTTACTTGATGATCCTTATTCTTGCAACTCTTGGACCTGGCCAGGGTGTTACCAGAATGGGATACGGTTTTGAACTGAACTGACAGAAGAACAAAGACAGGGGCCAGGGCTCATATTTGTGTTGCATTGTGACCGCACGCAGCATGAAATATTCAAAGGAGTCCCCCTTATTGCCCTCACCACCCCCATGGGAGCCCTTACTTGCTGGAAAATGGCCACACACGCATGTGCTTGGCTTTCGCCCAACCTCCGCATCCCGCGCAGAAGTCAGCTCTTGCTGTAGCTTTGCACACTCGTCGGCGGCAGTCGCCTGCATCAGGACCTATATGATGCCTCCCCAAACGGTCCAAGAAGCTGTATAGTGCGCGCATTGGGCCCACATGGGTTCCTATGTAGATACCTTGAGCCGATGTAAGTATCGGTCTGTAAGAAATAGTGTTGCCGTCGCAAAACGCGTCTGTTTACACCAGCTGCTCTTTTTTTGCAAGAAGTTATGACGAATGCTACTATGGATGCAGAAAAACAGTGGTGCTCAAGCAACCTCAAGCAGGATTATGTTGTTTGCTACGATACCCTGCGCCTGGCTGTATATCTTCGCTATTGCTTCTCTATGGTTGTTTCGTTGTGGCTGGCAATTGCTGTTGTTTCTGAAGAGATGCTCTTACTCACTGATAATGCCCGCTGCCCTTTTAATGTAAGACACAGGTCTTAATGGCGAAATGGGGATCATTGAAACATGTGATCACACTCTCCTGTGATGCTGCTAGGGCTTTTACGAATTGCACGTGTCTGCACAGCTTTCGATCCGGTTTGGAGGGAGAGAAAGTGTCAGTCAACGCGTTGGATCTGTCGCCCTGTCCCAGTAACCTATATAATACCAGGAGATACTCTTCAGGATATGTGAGGGTTTTTGAAAGCACGAACGCCTAACCTTCGTGTAAAGGAGGGGATCGTCCGAATCCTTCCCAGTTGCGGGAAGACAGACTCCCTTTATCGACAATTTCAAACCCCTACCCATGATTTTGAGAACCCCCCATGCTTCCAAGGACTAACTATAATTAGGGGCCTCGGCGTCACGCGCAGATGAAAGCTCTGCGCGAAGCTTGTCGACCTCGTTTTCAGCGGCTGCCTGGCCATGTTATGATTCAAAGCTGTTCTTATCCCTATTGCTATGCTGTGAATTATGGGTATTGTGAATGTTGATCTATGCATGCTGCTTCGATTGCCATCGAAAGACCATTTGTCGGACTGTCGTCGTTCCGGCATGAAGCAAGTCTGTGAACCTCATCAGCTGATACTCGCCAACCCCTTGCAATGGCCGGAGCGCGGAAACCCTCGCTTGCGAAAAAACCGAAAGAAAGAACAAAAAAAAAACTATACCAGACTGTTGCTGGGTAGGCCCGCCTAGACATCAGTTGCTGTGACGTGCAAGGTGCAGACTCGGATAATTACTTAGGGCTTGTGGTGGAAGGGCCCCAGATCAGGCCCAAGGTTTTCTGGACGCAGCTAGATGGATTAAGCAGATCTGCAGCTTCCTCGCTCATCCCTTTGTCATTTTAATGAGCGTCGCAATAAGTCTCTCACTATCATTACGGGACATGCCGTCCTTCCCAAGGGCTCTTCCAGATTTCCTGGAGCAGAGCTCGAAAATTACAGCATTCAGCTGAGCCCAGAAGCGATTTGGTGATGAATAACTACAGAGCTGTTTGTAGACAAGCATTGGTATGGCTACCTGGGCACTTGTGTTCTTGCAATGGTCTGTCCTGTCTGTCCAGGGGCTCATCTGAATCTAACGTCTGTGCCATTCTGCACATGAGAGCTCCACCCACCAGCACGAAAGAGGTTAACGAGGACATTGCAAATAACATGATGGTATCCGGCTGCTCTTGGAGGCTCGGCGTAGAAGGCATCCTCTGTGTCGGAGTCCATCGCATGGTATTCCACTCCGGGGATCCTGTCTGTGTCTGCATCACCCCGGTAGGGACTGTCTGGGCTACTTCGGTCTCCCACACGAGGCAGCCGCCTATCATCATCCCTGAACGGATCTGAGTGGAGTCCTCCTGCGGAATCTGCCGCATTCTCTGCCGGCGACGTTAGGCGCAACTGGGCCGCAAGGTTGCGAGCCAGCTCCTCGTCTCCCGCCAGCTCCTGCTGACGCCGTCTCCGCTCCTCTTCGTCCCCATCTGTCCGTCCAGGGGGATACGCAAAGGAGGACGTGGACTGTCCCCCAGATCTGGGCGGTGGCGCCCGCTCGAAGGTATCCAGCGGCACAGCCTCAGCCATGGCAAGCCCAAGCAGGTCCCCTTGCAACTACTGTATCTCAATCTGCAACTCTTGAACCCAAGTGTCCTCACAAGTGATCACTCACATGCTTCGTCGCAAAGAATGCGCTGTGAATGTCTTTAGCCTCAGCTAGCCCAGATTTATTCTGGGCGAATCTTAGGAATGATGATCGGCGAGCTTGTGCGCGCTTCGAACTGCATTCTGACCAAACCCTTAAACCATCGCGAAACCCGAGCTACACAGTCCACAGTCTGGTATGCCTTCTCAACCCTTTGCAACACCTATCTCAACCCCAAGCCGGAAGCCCGCAGCAACAGCTGTCTTCCTTCTACTACTCTCGTCGCCCTGCGAATATTAGCCGCAGCTTTTGCTTACCCATGCTAGTGCAAAATGGCATAATAAGCATGACAGTAGCTGCGTGAGCAAAAGCACGGCCTGGCTTTCCTTGGCCGATGCAACTTCCGCTTGCAGCTGCGCAGCTGTGCCAGTTGCTTCGGCCTACCGCTGAGGATTTTGAAGGGCTGCACATGGATTAGGGATGTAGGGTTTCGGGCTTTTGGTGGGCAAAGACTTGCAACACCGCCATGGTCTTGGTGTTAGGGGCGGGATGTAGCGCAAAGGGTGGAATAGTTCAGTAGGATTGAGAATATTGACAAAGGCCATCAGTCTTGGCAGCAACTACTATGGTTGAAATTGCCTTTGGCACCCTTCTAGTGGGGCCGAAATGGCTGAACAATCGTACCCCAAGGAAATATGACCCCCAGTCAGACGTAAACCACTTCAACCCCATAAACCACATAAGCCCTTGATCTACAAGCTGCCACTGTGAGGACCTACCAAGGCCAACAACCTCAATAAGGGCGCATACCTTGAACTATACTTCGGCTGGCAAGATATCGAGGAATGTTCCTCAACTGCACTGGGTTGTCGAAGACACATGTCAGAAATGTTCCTGAACGGGAGCGTGCCGTCCATGTAGCTTTGCCTTTCACACGCCATGAATGCATTCCTTGAACTCCACTACAATTACAGGGTCTGAGTATGCTATTCAAGGAATATTATCGGAATATTCCTCAAGTCCTAATCCCTCATTCCCAAGTATAAGCTTGACTTCAACCCCCCCGAAAACCTAACTCAACTGGATCCGTGTTAAAATAATCATTATCCCAAAATCACCAGCTATAGGATCCTGGGTCTTACTGGTACCGAGTTCAAGGGCCTAGGTCCGTATGCTACGAAAAATGGCTGCTATCTACAATAGCAGTGACAAGGGACTACAGGATAGGACCCTCCCGTTGACTTGTACCTTAAGATTTTCGCTGCCTAGCCCTCGATTCTTTTTGTTTGATAATTGGGTCTTGTCTACCTGGGAACCCTAAACCCGATACGGATACAGATATGGTAGTTTCAATAAACAAGAGGGCCCCCCTACCTCAATGCACTTTCATCCCAATTTTGGAGACCCCTCCCCAAAGGAGCCCTAATCTTGGGAAACCGTACTTACTTCCTATAACTCACAAAATTCCATTTCATGTTCCATTTTCTTGTCCGGCTGATTCTCCAGTATCCGGGTGATTTCCCTCTATCCCTATCAAACCCCAAGATAGACCCTGTTCTACTATATCAGTTTCCATGAACTTCTCCATCATCCCTGAAAACCCGTATACTATTCCTACAGCCCCAAGGCCTAAACCCCAAACCCCGAAACCCTAAGCCCCAAACCCTAAAACTCTTAACCCCCCTTTAAGGCTATAGTCCCCCTTAAGTAGATAGAATATGGGGTATATGGGGATCTTATTATAATATACCCAAAGCCATATTCTATCTACTTAAGGGGGACTATAACTCTTTCTCGGGCCTGAGATGCTGCGAGCTTTTTGCGCAGCGCCTCGCAGGCCTCCTCGGCTTGAGCCTGAAGGAAAAAAATCAAAAAAAAAAGGTGCCCCTCCTCTAACAGATTACAGTAGACCCATGATTAGTAAACCCCCACCCATTCATATGGATTATAGGAGGGATCCTAATACTAAGGCCCTTAAAAGGAAGGGGGGGTATGAATCCCGGGTATACATTAAGGTTTTGGGTTGAGGTTTTACCCGTAGTATAGGATATAGGGTTTGGGGTTTAGGTAAGTGATTGCCGACACTCAATACCAGTTTCGAACAATAGCGCTACGTGAGAGCGGGAAATGCCGAAGATGGGACTATGCAGGCTTTGCTATGCGGGCTGTATTCTGGAGTCTAGATAATTCGACTAGCGCTTTGGGGTACATTATATTGTCACTCTCGTATAAGGATTACACACTCTTGGCAATCATTCAGGCTTCTATATTGGGGTCCAAGAATGAGGGTCTGAGGTGTAAGGTCAACAGGTGAAGAGATTTAGAGGTCGAAGCGTAAATGGTGCAGGTTTTAAGAGGCACAGTTTATCCTAGGAGCGAAAAGTCCTGGGGTAGACAGAGGGGACTCTGTTAAATTGCCCGCAATGAGTGTGCCTTCCTAAAGCCGATTGTGCAAAACACTCAGAATCCTGAACCTCTACACCATAACCCCCATATCCATTCCTAGATAATCCTTTCATATTCCTAACATGACTCCCGTATATCCTATGCAGCTCCTATACATTCCCGATTGAACTGGGCCCTGCCTCTGCAGCCTTGCTGGCCGCCAGCTCCTTGCGGAGTGCCTCCAGCTCTTCTGACGCGACGGCCTGGGCGGCACGCGTTCCAGACTCAAGGGTTCGGGGGGCCCTAAAGTCTTTTGGGGGAGAGGAAGGACTCTGGGATTGAGAATGTGCAGGTCGAGGAGAGCTTGGGGGTTTCCAGTTTGGCATTTCTTTTGAACGCGCTTCCGGCTGCTCGAGCTTTTAGAGCAGCATGGCTCGGTCCTGAGGAGAGATTGGATGAATGACTGCTCGGCTGTTACGCTACAATTTTCCACCACTCTTGTTTTCGGCATGTTCTACCTGGTTAGGAATACACACGGCGAGCTGCGCTTCTTCTCAGTCTCCAGATAGGCATCTTAGAGCTGTTGCCCATTACTATGCCCACTTCTCAAACCTATCTTACCCTCAAGGGTGCTGATCTGCCATGCTCCGGAAATCCTTGATGGGATCCCTCTACAGGACCGCCGATTTTGCACAACACCCAGAACCCTTAATCTCTTCACCATAAACCCTATCCAATCCTGAGATCTCACATCTTCTACATTCCCAATAGCCTTGCTGGCCGCCAGCTCCTTGCGGAGTGCTTCCAGCTCCTCCGACACAACGGCCTGGGTTTGGGGAGGCTTTCGGAATTCTAAGGGTTCTTCGGCGTGGGGGAGGACTTTGGGATTGAGACTGTGAGGAGAGGTTGGGGGTGCTTCCGCCGGCTCGAGCTTGTAGGGCAGCATGGCTCGTTCCTGAGGAAAGATTGGATGAAAGACTGCACAGCGCCACGATTCTTGCTGTCGGCATGCAGACATGCAGGGGTGCTGCTCATTTCCGGCGTTATTGCCGTGACCGCCTTTGCTTTGGCATTGTTGCCGTTAAACTTGATTGGTTATCTACATATGGCGAAGCCATTCTCTTACGGTGACTCTTTTCAGTCTGCGACATGAAGGAATCTTGTACGGAGCTTCTGAATGCGCTATGGGGCTTGCACAGCCTACAGCTGACGTTCCAGGTAAACTTTTTTCGCAAGATAGAAACAGCAGGCTGTTTGGCGGGCATCCATCGTTGCAGTACGAGTCTTCGAATTGTTAAGAGCGATACCTCTCACAACGACAGCAAAAGGCCGTATCCATAAATACGATGCATTAACAGCGATAGTAAGAGCGCATAGTAGTAATAGTAACAGAAACAGGAAGAATGACAACAATAACAAATAAGCCGGGACTGACAGGTACCGTGGAAATCTCATTAAACTGCAGCCCTTGACAAAGTACATAGGCTGCAGCTCAAAAGTGTAGACTTCGGATCTTTTCAGATCCAGAAAAAATACATGCTCTAGGCCCAGATGGGCTCCTAAGGAGAGACTTAGGGCCCAAAAGTAGTTGCCATTTAGGCTCTTGGACCCTTAGTGAAAAGTTGCCAAAAAAGGGTCCCAACTCTGTAGCTTTGAAATAGCAGGCGCCGTTCACTTTTAGCCTAACTATGAGCAGTATTCTTACTAACGCATACTAATGCTGTGACTGTCTGATACCGAAACATCTTCTCATCCTTTTTATTCCTACTACGGTTATTATGTTACTCCGCCTGTTCTGATGCAGAAATGGCCTCTGCTGGAGGTCCGCTAAGAGCCTGAGCCTGCAGCAGAGAAGGAGACTTGACGTGCAAAGGGCTTCGGATTTAAGGCAAAGGTTTGGGGATTTTAGTGTTACAGTTTGGGGCTTAGAGATTTGGGTTTTAGGATCTGGGCTCAGGGCTTTGGGGTGGCAAGGTCAGGGTTTGGGGCTTCTAAACTGCCGAGTGAGATATGGTAGTTTCCCAAAATAAGGGGACCCTAATGTAGACCCCCAAATACTATAGTCCTTATCATGGGGACCCCCAAAAAGGTACCCATAATTTTGGGAAATCCCCATATGGTGAACTTAAAGGTCCTCCTGCATAACCATCTCGCGGGACCATGCTTCAACTGAGCTATAGTCTAAACTCCTAGTATCCCCCTTAATAACCCCTATAGTAGTCCCCTATATAATTCCCTATATAACCCCCCTTTAAGGAGTTTAGACTATTGCTCAACTGAGCCTCGGATTGGGTTTGGAGTGGTATATCCATGCTCTACACTCTGAAGCCCTCAACCCTAGAATCCTAGAAGTCAAAATGCTGGAGCGTCAGCCCGAAAACCCAGCCTGGGCGTATCTCTGAGGTTGAGATCCACCTCCCATTTTAAGGAGCCCACCCAAAAAACACACAAAAAAAAACAAAGATTTCAGAAACCTACATATAAATGTTACATCCACATACTTACCTAGATCAACAAACCGGAGCAGCTGGCTTACGAAACCCTACTTCGAAATCTATATAATGAGTCTTAGGAAGACTTCTTGTAATCCGTATAATGTCATAGCCATCCAAACTACTTGTTAGTTTGCTTACTAAGCCTGCCAGACCCTGAACTCAAAACCCTTACTAAGCCCCCTGACCCGCCAAGTAAGCCTAATGTAGAAGCCTGACTAATGATTGGTAGTAATGTCCCGCTGCAACCCTTGGATAATGTAACATACCCCCAAGCCCTCCTGTGATGATGTGGGCCCCTGTAGGAAAACCCCACAATGTGTGCACACTGTGCGAGTTCCTGGGCGGATGTGCAAAGTCCGGCAGCTTCCATGCGGCTGCGGCTTCCGGGCTTCACCTGCAAAATCTTTCAAATGAATTCGCTACTTACAGAGTTTCATGCGGAGGCTGAAATGGCGCCCAAATGTGATTGATTTTACTACATATAGGGACCGTTATGTAAAACATCGATAAATATCAGGCTTTGCTACATTTCTACATTCGGTACATGATTTCGGGCCTTGGGAACTTTATTGGGGGGGTTCCGTTTCTTCTTTGGAGGTCTCACGCAGGGCAAGCTGGCTTGGCAACATGTAGCCTATGTTGGAGTTTGGGTAGGGCTTTTAATTTTAAAGGCTGTGCAAGGGTTGACGGATTGCGGGGCTCGAGATTGGAACAAGGATGAATCGGCAAAGCTAGAATACTTTTCTTAATGGCGATAGAGAACAGAAAGCTGGTAAAAATGCGCATCAGCCCGAGGATAGCAAGGCCGGCTGAGGGAATTGGATTCCAGCCATCCACTTCGGGTGTAACGTACGTGGCCGCTGGCAAGGAAGCAAGCCATGGGGCCTCATTGTCGAGGACCAAAGGGAATAAGTGTAACTACTCAGGTGCCAATATCAACTGAAACCTGTAACCCTAAAGCCTGACCGCGATTGTACCTTGAAGCAAATCTCCTATGCCAGGGCCTCGTCATCAGTTTCTTCGCTTGCTGTCTCCTCCTCTTCCGATGCGGCCTGTGCCGACGTTCAACTGACGCGTTTGGCATTTTCAGGTTCAGGGTTCACTGCTTTGAAAACACAGTTGCGCGCTAACGTCCAAACAACTACAGGGAAACTGTCTTGGGGATACCTTATGGTTGCCACGAATGTATAAGGAGTATGAAGGGCGAATCTTCCTACTTATGGGCCGCAATTTCAATGTAAGCATCCTAATTTGACCACTGCATTCCTAAAGCCCCAACCCTCAGAGCCCAAAACCCTGGCCCCCATGACTATAGACCTGCACGACTAATTAAACGCCATTTAAAACCCGAGTCCATGAACTCGAAACTCCTGAGCTCAAAGCCCGAATCTAAACCCCCTAGAAGTTATTTAGTCCCAAGCCGCCCTGATCCGACCCGCCAAACAGCCTACTACATGCCTGTTATTTTGAGACTAGAGGCTGTCATTGTTGGGTATGTAAAAATACGCCCGTACTACCTGAAGCGTCATTCCGGAAATCCTTGCCACAAATCTGAAAAACTCTAGCCCCTAAACCTTCAACGCCCAAGCCCTGAACTTACGACTCTATAGCTATGAATACACAAACCCAGACTCCCATGACGCAATCCTGTGTGGGGAATGAAGCAATGGATTAGAGGGACTATAGGCGAGAATCATGTAGGGGCAACTACAGGATCCAATCCTCCGTTCCCTACCAACCACCCAACGTGCCGTAAACTCTATAAGACCAAAACCCTGTAGTGGCTTCTGTTCTGTCTTCCACCTCCTCCACTTTTTGTCACTAACACGCACATGCCCAAATTTGAACCCCGCTTCCATTTCTTCTTTCCCCTAGATGGTCCTATATAACCCCAAAATTGCCCAATAACCCTCACATGACCCCAACATAGCCTCATGACCCATATATACAGCCGCTTTAGCCCTTTATAACCCCGCCTATATCATATCCCCATACATGCCCTTTATAGCCCCTATACTTAACCCAAAACCCTAAATCCCCAAAGCTGAACCCTAAACCCCTGGCCCCTGCCAGAAAGCTGCTGCCTCGGCCTCTGGAGCCTTAGCCACAGCCTTGGCGTAGCCGCGGCCGGGGAGCGAACGCCTGGCTTTTGCTGAGGGCTTTAGGGGCTCTATTTCGGGTTCAGGGCTTAGGAGGGAGCTTGGGATTTTGGGTTTTTGTGGTTAAGATTTGTTCATGTTTAGGGACTTTAGGAATCAGGGCTTTTGGGGTTAGGGGTATTTGGGGTTTCAGGGTTGGCAACTTTAAGGCTTAGGGGTTCAAGTGTTCTGGGATTTTAGGCTTTAAGGGCTTGGGGGTTTGGGGATTTTAGGTTCTATGGTTTTGGGACATTCAGCTTGCAAGGATTAATTCTGTTTCAGCTTTAGGGGTTGGTGCTCAGGGATTTTAGGCTTTAGGGGTCTTAGGGTTGAGGGATTGCAAGGCTCGAGGATTGGACGGCTTTTTTGGAGGCTCAGACAGTTCAAGGTTAGCAATCTTAGGGTGTAGGGTTGCGCTTCCGGACCACAAGGTTTGCAGTGATTCCACGGGGATTGGGGCAGGGTATTACGGAGAATGTTTACGGAGAATGTTCTTATCGAAATACAAATTTTAGGGGAGTATACTCTTATAGGAGTACTGCTATAGGAGTAGATTTTTTTTGAAAGAATGTTGAGCTGTTTGAAAGTTAGGATGAAAGCACTTAATCGATTCCCCATAACATTAAACATCGTCCTGGCTAATATCAATTAATCCGAGGCCCGACAAAAGCCATTAGGGGCGATTATCTCTCGGAAGAATTGGACAGGGCTGCCTTTCAGATCCTCTTAAACTCCATGGAAAATCTATATTATATTTGATTAGGTAAACCAGATAGTTATCACATTCGTCAACAATCAACTGAGATTATTACCCCTAATTCATCATTGGAAAGTGATTATACAGTTTCAGGATCAGGGATAAGGCTGTAAGGTTCAACGGGTAGGGTTTGGAGAGCAATGCATGTAGGGAACTGTTTGGGGGTGCGGGATGTGGGGGCCACACCCTACCCTAAACCCTAAGCCCTGAAACTTTCAGGATTGCGGGTGTAACGGTTTCGGGCCTGAGGGGTTCAGAGTCGAGTTCTAGGGATTAGGACTCATGGGTTGGGGGTCTGGGATTGATGTAGGGATCGCGGTTTGCTTTATGGTTGCAAACTTGAGGGAGTAGAGTGGCGGCGCTTAAGTCCAGGGATTAGTGCTAGGGATTAAAATGAAGGTGTGGGCTTACAGGGATGCAGAGCTTTGGGCTGAGGACTTCGGACTGCAGGATTCGGGAGGATTTGGGGTGAAATATTTAGGCTCTAAAGATTAGTGGTTGAGGCTTGATGACCACAGTCCCAACCCAAATACCTGCTCTGACCATTTTCACAACAGCTGCATAGGCCTTCATTTTGGGTAGTCTAGAGGTCTAGGATCAGGAAAGCCCTCTGAAGCCCAAACTATTCCGATGCTCGCCTCGCTTCCCCAGACGCGCGGCGCTCTGCCATAGACATCCGTTTAGGGGCACGGTCCTGTGGTCCAATTGCTTTGTAGGCTTTTGGGTCAAGGGGTTATCGGCTTCAGGTTTTAACGTGGAGCTGACTGAGAGAGAACCTTGGGAATCATGGACAGGAAGCATTTGCACGTGAACGCTTGCGTCCACATTAACATGAGGAACTGGTACTACGAACACTGCGATTTGGGAGTCTGAAAATGATTCCTGAGCTTGGGTGCAAGGCCACATCAGGGCCTCTATAGCAAGGAGTCTCATGGCTTCTCCGGCATCAGGGTTGAAGCCTGAAGCATTAAAGCTGGACCTACTAGCGCAAGGCGCAAAAGCACAAAGCACCATGCAAACGAAATCATCGCAACAGGCGAATGCCCCTTGAGGGCTTTGAGGGTTTTCATGTGCACGACAATGACCCAAGCCGACACCCGGTTTGGGAAACCCGCTCTGACAGAGCATGAAGATGTCCTGGAACTCAGCTGGCTTCTCGCACAGCTGAACCTGCCACGAAGTAAGTGATGGAAGACTAAGTGAGCCACTAGCTCCCTCAATATGTGTTGCCGGAAACTTTTGACTGTATCCGGCCTCCCAGTGAAGCTTCCGCCTCTCCTTGGGAAGGTTCGCGCTGGCCTTAGATTCAGAAACAACCCCAGGCTACAAGGCACACGCCCAAGGACCTCCTCTCCGCGGATTCCAAAAAATCCGGGGTCCCGGAGTCGTGAACATACCCACAAGATCTTGGGGTATAACCACAGGGAACCCCTGTTTCGGAAATGCCTGCTCATTTTTCCAGAAGCCTGGGGCAAGCGCTCTTGCACAGCATCCCAGACTTTGGAGAACACGCTGTGCTGATGTGAAAGCTCTTTGACCAAGTGTTGCTACTTAATCCTAAGCCCCGCATAAACCCCAACAAAAAACCTAATCATAAACAGTACATGAACCCCAAGCCTTAAACCCTGACCCTGAAGTCAGATCTCCATCTCCCAGAAGCCGCCATCAGCATCCACGACCTGGATTTCTATCACGATTTAAGGCCTGTTTGCGCCAAGGATCCAGGACTTGGGGTTTAGTTCAGGATCCAGGGTGCGGGGACACTTTAGCATGGATCCAATCCAATGTAATTCTTACAGGATATCTTACATGGTGCAAAGTCTCTTCCATACATAGTCAGTATCTATACGAGAAAGAAGTTTGATAGCACCCTACCTGCAATCGCTGCGGTGTGGATCGCAGCAGGCATGACGCTGAGATGCAGAAGGAGTCCGAAAAGCCGTCGATTGTAAACTCCGCGCTGCAAACATAGTCGCCCGGCAAGTCAGGGTAGCTCACCTGGCTGTTGCTCAGAAGTGGGGCCCTGAGGGACTCTAGGAATATCTGAACCGGGATTGAAAGGACCTTGTCCTGAACAAGGATTATGTAGGGGGCTCTTCTCAAAACTGCAAGTTTCTGCAACATGCTGCAGGTCTTCCATTCTGTGGGGGGAATTTGTGTGAAGGAACTTTGTCGAGATGTTCCCACCTGCCAAGGCTTCCCAGCAGGCTTCTGACTGGGCGCCAGACGACGAACATAACAAGGGGAATCATCATAAACGTCTTCGTCGTTCTCCCGGTTAAACATGGCGTCATAACAGCAACGACTGGCGTCAAAGAGTATGTAAACATCCCGCGTGGCGGTGTCAAACAACACACTGTTGCCCAGAAGTCGAAGCCGCTTGCGCGGCTCCGCCACACGTAAATCCTTCCAGAGGCAGCATGTCTCAGGCTGCAAATTGTGCATGGGTAGCACGAGCAAGCCAACCTTCGTATTGAGCCACAGCGCACTTCCTGTCTCATCGAGAGCTAAGAACTGAGGATGGTTGCGCTCACCGTCCCAAACAGGCTCGTCGGGCAGTGCTATAGGCACACATCGTCGTTCCCTCAGTGTGCCATCGTCATGGAGGTCAAGTTCAATTATGAATACGCGTCCTGGACCAGAACCATGCTCGTAGCTGACGGCAAATAAGGAATCCTTTGCGAATATGCAGCTGGTGATTGTTTTGCCTCCAGCGTTGTAGCAAATTTTCATGTTTCTTGGATCCTCACAATCTGCCGCCATTGACGAGCAGATCTTGCACTCACGGTTCTGCTCGACAGCAAAAAAGACAGTCCCATTTTCCTAAGCCGCTCCAACAAGCCATAGTCGAAAGTACAAGAATGTTGTTATGTTTGTTACCTGGGCCCCGATAGGAAAATATAAAGCATGATGAAACTCAGGTTCTAGCCTCTGTGATTGCCAGGGGATACTGCATATGGACGTTGTCATCTGATTCGTCATAGCGGCAGATGGTGCGGAGGATGCTCCGGACATCTCCATCAGGCACCAGCTTCTCGGCACGCAAGTCCAAAAGCAACACTTCTCTGAAGCACGGACCAGTGTCACGATGTCGGCTTTCGCGGATAGACTGCATGTAGGAATGGAAATCTGTGCCATGAAACGAGCGCGCAAAGCAGACGGTAAACCGTTCAGGGTCCTGGCAGGCCAGTTTGCGAAAATAGCTGTCATGGCAATGATAGCCTTCGTCAGAGAGTGACATGCGGTGCACCAATCTCTCGAAGACTTTGGGCTTCGCGACGCGAACGAGATCAACAACAACTGGGGCTCCATCCACAACACCTGACAGTTTGCAAGAGGTTGGTTACCTAACGCGGTCAACCCCGAAAAATTGCATTTCACGGTCTTGTCAACCCAAAATGGGAACCCAGGATTTGTGGGACCCGCACCCAGCGACTCAAGACTGCTCTCATTGCAGTTCGTTCCGCCGTAGAGAACCTCAAAAGGAGCAAACTGCTGTAGCGCTGCTGTGGCAGCCGTGCGCAAGGGCACGAGCCGCGAGAGCTCGAGCTCAGCCAGAACCTGAACAAGGCAACTCAAAGACCCTACAAGGCATGTATCGAGACCCTATAGATTCCAGGAGTTCACACGATGTAGATGAAAGTCTCCCCCTCCCCCTTAGCGTGAATTCGACTGTTTTGTGTTCAATCTGGCTCTGTACATTAGGAACGCCAGTTTCCCGCGGAGCAAGGTCATACTCTCAGCGATAGGATTTTGAGTATCACTTGCACATGATTTCAGATTTGTTGTCCATGTTTGTCCTTGGGTCTCTTTGCAGCACTACTAACCAGCAAACGTCCACAATGTTGCTGAACATAAGCCTCAAATCCTCCCCATTCACAAGGCTTCGGAAGCATACGTGCTGCAAGGCCTCTGGCTGAGGTTCCTGTTCCTCCTGCCTCTCCATGGGAGGCTGGCAAGCCCGCGTTCTCTGAAGACGCGCAAGGTGCAGGATGCTAACTGCAAACTTTGTCATTGTAGAAGCTACGAATGCGCTAGCTAGCCAGCGTATGACAATGCAGGCCTCCAGGGTTCGGGCCCTGGGCTGCCATTCTGTGGAGAAACTGTGCCCTTATTGTTCTGCCTAGTTTGGACTGCGTGTCGCACACCGCTTGATCAGTGGACAGAATTCTAAATGGTTTGCCCTAGAACGTGCACGGCAAATGTCATGATACGCTGGACACTTTCTCGAATGACGATCCTTACATAAACATTCAGTAGGCTTCTACGTCGCATTGAAAGTCCATACTTGCAAAACCAGCTACAGTACTTCTCCTCCACCATGTATCCAGTCGAGTGGATAAAATGATCTGCAGAACCTGTTGCTTAGGTGCAATACTGTTCACTTGAGAACTCCTTGGAGGGTCCTGCTACCAACCCCCACCCAGTACAGTAACTACACCCGTAAGCCAGCGGCGCTTGCTCCAGCTCTGAAAGCTGCCATGCGGGAGTCTCTGAAGATATCTGCCGATGCTCAAGGCTCCCTGAGGGTATGAGCAACCCCAGCACTTCCTAGTGGCAAGTAGAGACCAAACGAAAGAAAAGAGCATGGCAAGCACTATCTGATTTTGAGTTGTAAAGGGACGGCTATAGTGATGCTTTCCTCTATTCCCTACTAACACCCCTAACCCCTAAACCCTATAGTAGTCTCCATCTTCTTTTCATTGGAACTCTAGGGCCCCTGCTTTGCTCACAGCGCTGTGAACCAGGGCCGGAGTTTCGGCCATAGGCTGCAGCCTGCAAGCTAAAGATTTGGAAGTTTAAAAAAGTAACATGGGAGAGAGTTCTCCAAATGAGTGTGGAGTGCCAGAGAAGGACAGAAGCCTTTTCTGGTATGGTATGAAGCGTTTGGCTGAGAAACTCCCATACAGGGATTGAGAGAAGAGTTCTGTAGGGATCATACACTGATACGGATCTTTGTATTCGTAAGAAAACACAATACAGGGGACAGCTTACATAACAGAAAAGCACTGGCGACCCCAAATATTCTAGGCACTGCTTGCACGACCTGTCGGGGCGGGCTTAAGCAGCAGTGTTGTGCACTTGTGCATGCTGGCGAGGAACGCGCAGCTAGGAAGATGGAGGAGTACGTCAGCTGCACCAGGAACCTTGCTGGATCATGCAGGGGGAGCTCGCATCTTTACACATCTTTGCTATTGTTGGGGATTATATAGGGTAGACGATAAGGGCTTTTCGCCCAGCTCCTTGCAATTATCCCTTATAACGCGCGAACAGGGCATTGTTTTCTGACCAACCTCTGCCAGGTCTACCGTGCATCTTCGTGCAACTGCGTCTAGACGCACCACAACATCCGAATAGCATGATGGCCATGAGAGAATGCCTCGTGTTCGGAATGTCTGAAGTCAGGGATTATTCGCTTAGTTCAGCAAGAAGTTGCGCAAATACAGTGTTCAGTTCCCGAAGCTCCCTATGCCCGGAGCTTTACGACGCCTTGTGCGAACTGTTGTGGTGGTCGCTGAAAAGAAACTAGAGACCCTGGGAATACATTCAAACCATGGAAGGAAATGACGGATTCGTCAAGTTCATGTACAGCATGTTTAGCTGAGCATGCCCTTTGCAACCATCTCATTGACATGTGAATCAACAGACTGGGCAGACGGCTCGCACCAGCCAGCGCTCCGCCTCTGGCAATTCGGCGTTGGAGCGCACCCCGTAGATGAGCCTCGTGCATCAGAAGTGTAGCAGCGGGGGCGGCGGTGGTGGTGACAGCGGGAACGGCGGCGGCAGTAAGTAGTATGTTGTATGCAGTATTCTTATAGTAGTAGCAGCAGTAGTAGTAGTGGTGGTAGTAGCAATAGTAGCAGCAATAGTAGTGTGGTGGTGGTGGTAGTAGTAGTAGTAATAGTAGTAGTAGTAGTACTAGTAGTAGTAGTAGTAGTAGTAACAAAAGAAGAAGAAGTAGAAGTAGTAGTAGTAGTAGTAGTAACAAAAGAAGTAGTAGTAGTAGTAGTAGTAGTAGTAGTGGTGGTAGTAGTAGTAGTAATAACAAAAGAAGAAGAAGAAGTAGTAGTAGTAGTAGTAACAAAAGTAGTAGTAGTAGTAGTA